ATTTTCCAATTTTTCGAATTTTCCATTTTTCAATTAAGAAATGTTTCAATTTCTCAATCCGATCTTTCAATTTTTAATTTTTCAACTTTTCCATTTTACGATTTTTTTATTTTTCAACGTTTAGACTAATTTTTCGATTTCTCAGTTTTTGAATTTTTCAACTTTTGATTTTTTCTATTTCTTGTTCCAATTTTTGGATTTTGTAATTTTTCGATTTCTTATGATTCAATTTTTCAATTTCTCGCTTGTTTAATTTTTAATACCCCAATTGTTAATTATTTAATGTTTCAACAATTCAACCACTAATTTTTCAGTTTTTCAGTCTCTAGCTTTTACAGTTTTTCTTCTTTCTATTCCCATTTTTTAGCTTTTAGGTTTCTCAATTTTATGATTTTGTAGTTTTTCAATTTTTCCATTCGATGTTTCAATTTTTCGAATTTTCAATTTTTAGATTTTTAAATTTTCATCTTTTCTATTTTACAATTTTTTTAATTTTTCGACTTTTAGATTTCTTAATTTTTCGAGTTCATAATGATTCATTTTTTCAATTTCTCGTTTAATTTTTCATGACCCGATTTATAATTTTTCAATTTTTCGATTTTCTGACTTTTCTTTTTTCAGTTCAAAACAAAAAAATGGAACAATTGCAAAATCGCAATTCTTTTTTCCGTTCTACGATTTTGCAATTTTTCCAAATTTTTTTTAGTTTTTAGATTTTTCAATTATTTAATTTTTGAATTTCTCTATTTTCAAACTTTAAATTTTTCAAATTTACAATTTCATATTTTTTCGACTTTCCGGCTTTTCTTTTTTCGTTTCGAAACTAAAACTGGAAAAATTGCAAAATCGTATTTTTTTCCGTTTTACGGTTTTGCAATTTTTCCACTTATTTTAGTTTTTCAATTTCTCAATTGTTCAATTTTTTTATTTCTCGATTTTCAAGCTTTAAATTTTTCAAATTGCAATTTTGTAATTTTTCAATTTCGCAATCCAATCTTTCAATAATTTTCCAATTTTTCGAATTTTTCATTTTTCAATTAAGTAATTTTTCGATTTCCCAATCCGATCTTTCAATTTTTCATTTTTCAACTTTTCCATTTTACTATATTTTGAGTTTTCAACTTATAAATTAATTTTTCAATTTCTCAGTTTTTGAATTTTTTAACTTTTGATTTTTTCTATTTCTTGTTCCGATTTCTAGATTTTGTAATTTTCGATTTCTCATGATCCAATTTTTCAATTTCTCGTTTAATTTTTCATGCCCCGACTTTTATTTTTTCAATTTTTCGATTTTACAGTGTTTTTTCCCCATTTACCTATTTTTCAGCTTTTCGATTTTTCAATTGCTTAATTTTCTAATATCTCCATTTTTAATTTTTATTTTTTCAAAAGTACAATTTTGTCATTTTTCAGTTTCTGAATCCGATCTTTCAATCCGATGTTTCAATTTTTTAATTTTTGATGGCTCAATTTTTCACATTTTGATTTTTTCAAATTTTCAATATTTAGATGCTGTAATTCTTCTCATTTAATTTTTCTTATCCAGATTGTTAATTATTTAATGTTTCAACAATTCGACTCTTAATTTTCAGCTCTTCAGTTTCTAGATTTTCCAATTTTTCTTTTTTCAATTTTTCCATTTTTCGACTTTTCGGTTTTTTAATTTTTTAGTTTCTCCATTTTAAATTTTTAGATTTTTCAATTTTATAATTTTGTAGTTTTTCAACTTTTAGATTTCTTAATTTTTCGATTCAATTATTCAATTTTGATTTATTCAGTTCCTTGATTTTTCAATTTTTAAATTTTGTAGTTTTACAATTCTGTGACTTTGACTTCTCAATAATCCGATTTTTCAATTTCTCGTTTAATTTTTCATATCCCGATTTTTAATTATTTAATGTTTCGACGTTCATTTTTCCGATTTTTCAGTCCTCTAGTTTCTCGATTTTTAATTTTTCAACTTTTCCATTTTACAATTATTTTATTTTAGATTTCTTAATTTCTCGACTTAATCAATTATTTTTTTTAATTTCTTGTTTAATTTTTCATGTCCCAATTTCTAATTTTTCAGTTTTTCAATTTTTGAATTTTCCAACTTTTCATTTTTCAGTTGTATGAGTTTGCAATGTTTCCATTTTTTTTTTGTTTAGACTTTTCAATTGTTTAATTTTTTAGTTTCACGATTTTCAAGCTTCAAATTTTTCAAATTTACAGTTTCGTAATTTTTCGATTTTCCGGCTTTCATTTTTCATTTCAAAATTAAAAAACTGAAAAAATTGCAAAATCGTACTTTTTTTTTTAGTTTTACGAATTTGCAATCTTTCCATTTTTTAGTTTTTCAATCTTTCAATTATTTAATTTTTTAATTTCTCGATTTTCAAGCTTTAAAATTTTCAAGTTACAATTTTGTAATTTTTCAATTTCGCAATCCACTTTCAATTTTTCAATTTTTCGAATTTTTCATTTTTCAGTTAAGTAATTTTTCAATTTCTCAATCCGATCTTTCTATTTTTTATTTTTCAACTTTTACATTTTACGATTTTTTGATTAATCAACTTTTAGATTAATTTGTCAATTTCTCAGTTTTTGAATTTATCAACTTCCGATTTTTTCTATTTCTTGTTCGAATTTCTGGATTTTGTAATTTTTCGATTTATCATGATCCAATTTTTCAATTTCTCGTTTAATTTTTCATGCCCCGACTTTTTTTTTCAATTTTTCGATTTTCCAGCTTTTCGATTTTTCAATTGCTTAATTTTCCAATATCTCGATTTTCAATTTTTATTTTTTCAAAAGTACAATTTTGTCATTTTTCAGTTTCTCAATCCGATCTTTCAATTTTTTGAATATTTCATTTTTCAATTTAATAATTTTCCGATTCTTCAATCCGATGTTTCAATTTTTAAATTTTTGATGACTCAATTTTTCAAATTTTGATTTTTTCAAACTTTCAATGTTTAGATGCTGTAATTTTTTTCGTTTAATTTTTCATATCCAGATTGTTAATTATTTGTTAATAATGTTTCAACAATTCGACTTTTAATTTTTCAGCTCTTCAGTTTCTAGATTTTCCAATTTTTCTTTTTTCAATTTTTCCATTTTTCGACTTTTCGGTTTTTCAATTTTTTAACTTCTCCATTTTAAATTTTTAGATTTTTCAATTTTATGATTTTGTAATTTTTCAACTTTTAGATTTCTTAATTTTTCAATTTCTCAATTATTCAATTTTGATTTATTCAGTGCCTTGATTTTTCAATTTTTAAATTTTGCAGTTTTACAATTCTGTGACCTTGATTTCTCAATAATCCGATATTTCAATTTCTCGTTTAATTTTTCATATCCTGATTTTTAATTATTTAATGTTTCGACGTTCTTTTTTTCGATTTTTCAGTCCTCTAGTTTCTCGATTTTTAATTTTTCAACTTTTCCATTTTACAATTATTTTATTTTAGATTTCTTAATTTCTCGACTTAATCAATTATTTTTTTAATTTCTTGTTTAATTTCCGTTCTTCAATTTTTGAATTTTCCAACTTTTCTTTTTTCAGTTGTACGAGTTTGCAATTTTTCGCGAAATAATCTTTTTATCTGATTTATTTTTTATTTTAATACAATTGTTGTTAAATACGTACAAACTTATAAAGGTTATCACACAATAAATAACATTTCTCAAAATCCAATTTTATAATTTTTCGGAGAAGCTGGATTTGTTGGACTGAGGCGAAAAAAGCTCTATCTAAATAACCTTAAACACTTATTTTTATAACTAAAATACAGAAAAAACAATATGCGTAACTCAAAATTTTGTTTAGTAAATTTTATTTGAATTTCCTAATGATTAAAATTTATCTATTCATCGCTTTTAGAAAGTTAACGTCCTCATCGCAAAAATGTATTAATATCTGTGTTTTTTTTGTCAGGTTGGCAAAATATTCAAAATTTTATGATGGCATGTCAAAATTGATAAGTGTAAACTGACAAACTAGCACTGCTGCCAATTATTCAGAACTACCAACACAAAAATTTGTTTCAGTCATCCGGTATTTGTTCAAAAAATACGTTTGGGCTTAAATAATAATTTAATTGTTTAAATCAAGAATAGTTATTGACTGTTTGCATTAGAGATGCCATTTCTTAACTGTAATACGGTGTGTTTCAGAAAAATACAACATCAAAGTAAAAAGACGCCTGAACAAATACACACATAAATCGTAAATATATGAACGAACTCTAACAAGGTCACTTACCTTTCATAAAATTTTGCGACAATACTAACACTTGACGATTTTAATCTATATAATATCAGTCAAGCATCGCTTATCAACCATTGTTAAAACCCAACATTTATTTATTTACCGCAATGACTTTTACAAAGATAAAACTTGATCTCCTGACTAAAATAAAATTCCAGACGCCGAATAAGGAAAAACTCCGGTGATACGAACCCACAAACCAATGAATCATCCACCCCTATCAATAATTGACCTCTTATTCAAGCTGTTATGCAAAATAAAAGACCGGAAAAGCTCGTCCCAGTTACCTATTTCCCCCCAGGTCGAACAACCTTCCGACTTTCCGATCCGACTGATAAAACTTTAGCACAAATTTAATATAATCTTTTCCCCACGAAACATGCGAACAGCTATTTCTTTTTTAATAATACAACTGTCCATCCTGAAAACAACCAATCAAGCTTGTAATATTTCGGTTATTGACTGCTTCAACCCGCAATTCATTCGCGATCGGTACCAGCCGACATTGCTAAGTTATTGAAATTTCCCCATTGCTTTCAGTATTAATAAAATCAATCGTTATGATGTTATTAAACGAAACGAACATATAGACGGAAAAAACAGTTTCATGTGTTGCACTCGCGTGTAACCAGTTGGAGAATGCCGGGCATTCCCATGGTGTAACCGACGAACCACGGGATGAAATTACACCCTTATCGTACACTTATTTAAAAATTGCAGACATTTTTTAAATGTGTTTTAATTCCAGTCCCGAAGAGGACGCCGCTTCCAAGATTGAAGAAGAAAGAGAGAAACCGGTGAACAGCGACACGATCACAATTGACATTAAAGAAAAGGCGGCTGAAGCACAAGAAACGGTAAATGAGGAAAAAACGAAAATCGTTCCTGAGGCGGAAGTCGAGACTAAAGCGAAAGAAAAGGAAGGGAATGACGACGAGCCGAAGTTTGGTTCGACCAAAGAGAAGGAGTGCTGGGATATGTACTGCAAAATGACGGATAAAGGGTTGAAAGTGTCGTACGACACGATTCTAAGAGGAATGTTGACTCCCACGGAGTACAGAATGCGGAGAAGAGAAAGTGTTACGCCTGTAACTGAAGAAACAAATCCACCGTAATTTAGACGTAGGAAAATGGCGACGGCCGGCCATTTGTGTACTTCCCCGTAGTCCCGAGATTTGTTCAGCGCTTGTTATAGACGGATTTTTATACAATTTCTTTTTATAGAGGCAAATAATTTTATATGTATGTATGCGACAAACGCACAACTTATATTTTATAGAAAAAAAGAAATAAATTATAAGAATCCTGGGATCGTTTCGTTCTTTTACCCGCTGTGATGTAGTGGGTGGAATCGACTATGGGGTTCACCAATTCAAAGTAACGTTTAGAGCGACACCCTAGGGAGTCGATTACGTCCACTATAGAAGCAAAAGCAGAAAACTAAAACTGACTCACCAAAACTGGGGATTTACTGAAAATTTGTTGAATAATGTATAGAAAATACAAGACTGCAGTGTTTCCAGCCGTCACTGACCTGCAGTTACGCCTGACGTGTCCCACACCGCCTTATATGCGACAATTTGTGTACTTCACCCTCGGCCGAAATACGTCAACCTCTACAGGACTACAAACCCACAAACGAAAATTACTAAGATAGACAATAAAGAAATAATGATAATGCTACTTTCACACTACAAATCGATAATTGACTTTAATTAAAATCAAATTAAAAAATGTATCTCTAGAAGTAAATTAAACACTATAGTAGTAGAAGTGGTAGCCCACATTATAGCTGCATAAATATTTTGTCGTGGTCTTTAAAAAACAAATGGTTTCGATTGACGTTTCACAAGTGTAAACTACTCTTTAGCTGCTTTATTGATAAAACCTGACACTTGACATTTGTGACGTTTCTGCAACCGCACACAATGGCCGCGGTTCACAACAACAAATAAATTGCGCAAATCGAGCAAATCATTAATGACGGAATTCCCTGGAAAACCCGCACAATTTTTGATCGGCCACCGAATAACCTAACCCTTGGCCGCGTCATTTTCAACAGTGCCTTTCGTGTGATGTGATGTTCCCGTGATGTTTCGACGGAACAACAAGGAAAATAAAGCCAAGTTAGAACATAAATTATACCTTGTGAGTATTTCACCCCCAAGTAGACTTTGTTAAACCGGCAGTCTTAGGCCAGGGAGGCCCCCGAGCCCGTTTTCGATTTGTCCGAGTGCGGCTTGCGACAGGTCCCCCAAGGGATCTACTCGCTATGTCGGGTGTTCCTCAAAGAGGTGCTACGGTTAGACGGCAACTACTTGTCGTCGTTGACCGGAGGCGGGCAGCTGAAGGACCTACTTCAATTAAAAATATTGGATCTACATAATAATGCCTTTGTGTATCTTCCCGATGATATACAGTTGTTGAAAAACTTAAGGGTGATTAGGCGTTGAGGTTTGACCAAACGTTGATTTTTGTCTTGCAGGAACTCTATTTGAACGATAATCAATTAAAAAAGTTGCCTGAAACTCTTTGTACTTTAAGTAATTTAGCTGTGTTAAATGTCGCTAATAATTCGTTAAAATCGCTGCCGGAAAATGTAGGGAATTTGAAAAATTTAAAGTTATTGAGTATTAATGCTAACAAACATTTAAAACATTTGCCCAAAAGTATTTGTAAAGCGCAGAGATTGGCGATCTTGGAAGCCGACGCTGCTAATTTCGTTTATCCACCGAGTGGTATTGTGGAGGGTGGAACTGAAGCCATTAGAAAATATATCTGTGATGGTAATTTTTTGAAGTATGAAACGCTGAAAACTGTGTGATTGTTTTCCAGATGTGGGTGTTGATTATTTAGATTTTGAGCAAGAGTGTGAACAAGAAGCGATTGATGATGGCGGGGACCAAATTGACGCTTTTGAGGTAATTCAATGTATATAAGATAGTGCAGCGATCCAATCTATCCTTGACAGTCGCTGTACATAACATCATTATTGCTTATAAGCAATAGTCTTAACCATTCATTGTTTTCTAATTGGTTTTTTATGTTTTTTTAGGCCAAAATATGGAAGCTAGAAAATATTAAGGCATGTTTGTTTCTATTACTTTTTTTTTTTTTTTTTTTTCAATACAAATTGCTTTAGTGGCTTCAACACTTCCGTTGCTTTCTGCTTTAGTTGTGATTTTCGCTTTTGCTTTGTTTACTTGATTTTTCAAGTCACACATATTTAAGTTAATTTTTTTGCACGCGATACAACTGCCAGAGACGTAAAATGTGATGCTTTCACCATTTTAGAAACAAAGATTACAAGATTTCTTAGAGATGGAACGGGCGAATGAGTTATTACAAAAACAAGAGTTTGAATTGGCCAATGCCCAAAAGGTCAACAAAGAGAAGGTACTGATTTAATACCCCAGAGTTACATTTTGACTGTGTAATTATAGCTACTAGCGGACATCACTCACTTACAAAACAAATTTGACAAGCAGCTGTTGAAAGTACAACAAGAAAAGGAAATTGAGCGGTTCAACTTGGTCGAGAAAGTTCTGCAAGGTATCTTTCTTGTTAGCGCATTCACCCACTACACTGTCGTTTCAGACGAACAAAAAGCCGACTGGGCGATAAAGCAGCTACTGGAAATGAACAGTGAGCCCCTGGCGCAGCTCCTAGAACAAGAAAAAGAGGAAGAGGAGCGTTTGTTGGCCGCCGCCAACAAATACAACGCAGCTTTACGCAAAGACGACATTTTGGAGGACATGCAAGTCCTGCTTGAGCAAGAACTGCTCAGGTTTCAGCAGTTCCACGAGAGTCGTCTAGAGGCATCCAAAACCATTTTGGAACAGTATGAAACAACCATTCTCACACTAAGTGACTCATTTTTGTCTTTCAGAGAAACCGATCACGACTACCGCGTTTCCGAGATATTGCAAAATCAGGATTTGCACAAAGCCGAGCTTTTACTGAAGTTGCATGAAGACAGTGACTTGCAGAAAGCCGCAGTCGGGACTTTGCTGGAACGAGGCGACGCTAGGAGTTGGGGATTGTTACAGCAGGTTAAGTTGGTAGAAACGCAGTTGGCAGCACTGACAGTCATTGAAATGGAGAAGCGGAAATTAGAAATTGATCAAAATTTGGTGCTTTTTCTAAAAATGTGTGACATAACGTGTGATAGTTTTTTTGTAGAATGATTTGTGTGAAAAACGAATGCATTTGTCGTGTTTATTGATTGACTTGTTGGAGCAGCAGAAAGATAGACGGACGCAATTGTTATCCACGCTGCAAAATTTGGAAGAGTTTAACGATAATTCAGACGACTTTTGGTTGAAGCAGTATCAAAGATTACTGGATAAGTAATTCGTACGTAAATTTTCGTTTTCGTTGCGTAATTTTGCGTGTTTAGGTTGCCCACTGGTTTATCAGAAGCCCAAAAGAATATTGATCCAGTTCTAGCGCAAGCTCTACTCATGAATGGAGTGATTAGTTGTTTACCGTTTTTGGCGAACATGACACAGTGCCAATGTAAATAAAAATATATCCCAAGTGTCTTAACGCTCACGTACTTTTTTTAGGTGATCTCGATAAAATTACAGATGATGATTTAAAGGAGGCCGGAATTAGTAACAGATCTGATAGAATTCACACTTTAGATGCATTCCAAATGTACAAAAAGGAGCTGGTGAGTCGTTCCCCGGTCACGCCTACCGCTCCAGTCTTGCCTGTAGAGGAAGCAAGCGCCCCACCTCTTGAAACCGTTTCAAACATGACCACAGAATGCGTTATTTGCATGGACAAATCCGTAAGTATTCATCATCTTGTTGAATTTATACCACAGTTTTTTTCTAGTGTGAAGTAATTTTCGTGCCATGTGGACACTTTTGTTGTTGTTCTGAGTGTCCCACCACATTGACAGATTGCCCAATGTGTCGATCGCCCATTGAGCGCAAAATAAGAATAATCCCTACATAATTTTCCACTATCCAACAAAGCTTAAAGACATTTAACTGCCAAAGATAAATTCGTACTGCTCATTGGTGTTTATTTTATTACTAATGAACAAATGTGAAATGCACGATTCTGTGTGGCCTTAAAACTCAATCTAGTCTTAAATCTCGCGTGGTTTTATATTTAATAAGTTCTAAATAGTTGTTGAAGTTTTACTCAATTTTTGCATGTTACTTTATTTTCAACATTAAAGTCATGATATTGTGGTTTTTTAAATAAAATATATTTAGAAAAACTGAATTATACAGCTCATTCACCCGTTTCCTCTTCCTCCACAACCTCGTCGTTTTCTTCGGTTTCAACGTCTCCGCTTTTCCGGCTTTTCTTCTTCTGCTTGGCTTCTTTAAATTCTAAAATTGAAAAGCGGTGATGTTTGTTGGATCAGTAGTGAACTCACCCTTCAACATAGCCTGTAATGGTTCCACGAACTCGTCAAACTCTAATTCCTCCAACGCCGCTATTATATCCGGCCCCGACAGCGTTTTCCTATTAACTTTCTGCGACTCCTTAGTCGCTTGGGACGTGATATATAAAACAAAAATAGAAGCGGCTCTGGATAGAGCAGACCGAGCGTCTTTCCCCACATTCACACTATCAGGTAAAGCGTCCTTAATAATTTTCTGCACTGTCAAGTTCGGCAAATTCAAATCTTCCAACTTTTCAGCCATTGTTACACCAAACACGCTGCAGTTTTCTTAAAACGATCAAAATAAGCACTTTCCCCCCAAAAACATGTTGCGATACCGCGACATCAGTGACATTGACATAGGGAAACAGCAATACCACCACAACGACGACAAAACGTTGACCTGCCCACTGTCATTGCTGTCAAAATCATCTGTAAACTTAACAAGAACACTTGCGATGTCGGCCAACAAAAAGAACGAAGAGGGTCTGGAACACATCCGCAATGCGGAAAAACAGTAAAAATTCGTCTAGCAATGTCTAGAGCTTCAATATAAGTGTTATTTTACAGCCTGAAGACGTCCCTGCTGAAATGGCGACCCGATTACGATTCCGCCGCAGACGAATATAACAAAGCAGGTTTGTGGATAAGTTGGATTTATGTGGACAATTTTTACGGGATTATTTGCAGCTACCTGTTTTCGTAACGCTAAGAACTTTGCGCAGTGCAAGGAGTGTCTGTTGAAGTCTGTCGATTGCTATAAACAGAACAGAGCGTATCCTTTTTGGTATCAAATTAGCGGCTTTAGTGCGTTGATGGGTATGTTTCTTAACAGTGTTTAGATTGTTTTCGGCTGCCAAAGCTCTAGATCAGGCGGTTCTAATATGCAAGGAACTGGGGGATCTGCAGGATGTTGCGTCATTGGCGGAAAGAGCGGCAAACATGTATCAGAACCACGGTAGCAGTGACACAGCTGCAGCCTCTCTGGATAAAGCGGCGAAAATATTGGAAGCGCAACATCCAGAGCAAGCTCTGAAGTTGTTCCAGCATGCCTCGGAGGTGGCGATGGTAGGAAATCATTTTTTTATTATCTTGTCTAGGTTTTTGTTTAATTCCGTGTGCGGTATTAATGGTTATTTTTGGCGGAATTGCAGCATTTTTCTTAACTTTTTGAACGACGGTCTTGTGTTGATTAACCAAAATGTGTATTGATCCCCCCCAAAAAAATTATGACGTAATATTGTATATTGTTACATAAATGTCATTTTCAGTACACTGGTAGTACACGTGTATATCTGTAATTTATTTATTCGTCCTTTCTAACGCAGATAAATAAATTGTAGTTTGCGAGCTTAACAAAATTGCAATTTTAATATCGCCTGATGCTCCTCTAAGCATTAATTTCACTTTGGTCGGATTTTGGAGCTCTGAGAATAGTGTTGATATTTTGCAAATGAAATTTGTTTTCATGAACTTATCTCATGCAGTTACCCTGAAAGGTCAGCGCTTATTTGAAAAGGTCAACGCAATTTGCCTCGACATAGAATTTCGTTTTAACTTCGTTTGCAGATTAAAAGCCTTACAAATTAGTTTAAAAATAAATTCATCGGGAAAAGTTCATTCGTTGCTCCACAATAATAAATAAACAAAATGTCACACAAAAGTCTTTGTTTATTTTACTATTAATTATTTATTTGAATTACATTTTTTAATAATTTAACAATGTCGTAACATTATCGAAAAAAGTTCTCTAGAAGGCCATGAAATTTATTTTTAAAATAATAATGTTGGCAACATTTACAACAGTTAGTGTCAAAGAACTGCAATGGCAACTTCATTATTTTAAAAATTAATTTCACAGACTGGAGTGTAGCTTTTACTATTCTTGCAAAATTTTCGCTGTAGTTTCAAATTCAAAACATTAAAATGACTAACGGTTTGAACAAAACAGTGATAGTTAATTCTGTAACAAGTGTAAAAAAAATGTTTTGCTGAAGCAATTAATATTTTGTCACCGAATTTTAAACATTTTTGAACTTATTTATTTATAAGTATTTGCAATATTTCTGTGATAGCTAAGTAATTAGTTCTAAGTGAGAACCAAAAACTTGCCTTGGAATTTTGCTGCCAAACCGACAAAATAAATTTATGTAATTTCAGCATCTAGTTTATATAGAAACAAAAATGAGTAACAAGATAGGTAGCTTGAAAAAATTATGAATAAACGTTATAACACGATCTCAGAACATCCAACCTGCGCTCGGCAGATGCCTTCGACAATCTTCGGGTATCATTCGGAAATCTTCACAGATGAATTTAAAGTTTTCCGGGACTTTTCAGAAATCTTCGTACAATTTAATGTAGATTTTAGCAAGAATATTTATTATGTATTTTAAAATGGTTGTCGACGCAGATAGCTATGAAAATACGAAATAAAGTTAGCAGTAGGTTAGCTTCATAATTGTGAAATTCATTATTGACATTTCAATTGTCTTGTCAGGAACACGTGTGTCAGTCCGTAACGTAATCTTCGTCATTTTGAATTTGCTTATTTCACAAATTTTTATAAGAGTGACGTCTTTAGTTTAGTTTTTCAAAATCATAACTTCAACTGACAAAAATGACATCTGAGCTATTTTTTATTTCCGTAGCGTAAGCTAAGGAAGTATAGTAATCGAGACCATCGGACGAATGACTGTCTGTCTGGTGTCTGGACGACGCACGTTCAATTCCAAACTTGGCCTTTTTTTTTCTTTTCTTTTTTTTTCACTGTATTACATATCTATGTTTATGACGTCATAACAACTTTATTTTTGATGAATTTACCGCACCTTATCGAAAAGGTGCGAATATCCGGGGGCCCCAAGTGTCTTTTTTAAAAATGTGAAACCTTCTCAGGGGTCCCAATTGTCTTTTTTTTTAATGTAATACCTTCTCAGAGGTCGCAATTGTCCTTTTTTTTAATGTAAAACCTCGGGGGCACCAAATGTTTTTTTTTTGAAAATGGAAAACCTCAGGGGCCGCAAATATATTTTTTAAGAATGTGAAACCTACTCAGTGGTCCCAACTGGCTTTTTTTTAAATATAAAACCTCAGGGTCCCCAAGTGTATTTTTTAAGAAAGTGAAACTTTCTCAGGGTCCCAATTCTCTTTTTAAAAATGTAAAACCTCGGGGACGCCAAATGGTTTTCTTTAATGTGAAACTGTCTCGGGGATCCCAAATATAAAATTTTTAAGAATGTGAAACCCTCTCGGGGGTCCCAACTGGCTTTTTTTAAAATGTAAAACCTTCTCGGGGGTCCCAATTGTCTTTTTTGAAAATGGAAAACCATCTCAGGGGCCCCAAATGTTTTTTTTTTTAGAATGTGAAACCTTGGGGGTCCCAACTGGCTTTTTTAAAGTGTAAAACCTTCTCCGGAGGGGCTAAATGTATTTTTTTTTTAAATAGAAAACCTCGGGGCCGCCGAATGTTTTTGTTTAGAATGTGAAACCTTCCCGGGGGTCCCAACTGGCTTTTTTAAAAATGTAAAACCATCTCAGGGGCCCCAAATGTTTTTTTCTTTAGAATGTGAAACCTTCTCGGGGGTCCCAACTGGCTTTTTTAAAATGTAAAACCTTCTCAGGGGCCGCAAATATATTTTTTAAGAATGTGAAACCTTCTCAGTGGTCCCAACTGGCTTTTTTTAAAATATAAAACCTTCTCAGGGTCCCCAAGTGTATTTTTTAAGAATGTGAAACTTTCTCAGAGTCCCAATTACCTTTTTAAAAATGTAAAACCTTCTCGGGGGCGCCAAATGCTTTTTTTTTAATGTGAAACCGTCTCGGGGGTCCCAAATATATAATTTTTAAGAATGTGAAACCTTCTCAGGCTCCCAATTGTCTTTTTTTAAAATGTAAAATTTTCTCGGGGGTCCCAATTGTCTTTTTTGAAAATGGAAAACCTTCTCAGGGCCCCCAATTGTCTTTTTTAAAAAAGTAAAACCTTCTCAGGGTCCCCAAATGTTTTTTTTTTTAGAATGTGAAACCTTCTCGGGGGTCCCAACTGGCTTTTTTAAAGTCTAAAACCTTTCAGGGGGGCTAAATGTATTTTTTTTTAATGTAAAAGCTCGGGGCCGCCAAATATTTTTGTTTAGAATGTGAAACCTTCTCAAAGGCCCCAAATATTTTTTTTTAGAATGTGAAACCTTCTCAGGGGTCCCAACTGGCTTTTTTAAAAATGTAGAACCTTCTCAGGGGCCCCAAATATTTTTCTTTTTAGAATGTGAAACCTTCTCGGGGGTCCCAACTGGCTTTTTTAAAATGTAAAACCGTCTCAGGGCCCGCAAATATATTTTTTAAGAATGTGAAACCTTCTCAGTGGTCCCAACTGGCTTTTTTTAAAATATAAAACCTTCTCAGGGTCCCCAAATGCTTTTTTTTTAATGTGAAACCGTCTCGGGGGTCCCAAATATATAATTTTTAAGAATGTGAATCCTTCTCAGGGTTCCCAATTGTCTTTTTTTTAAATGTAAAATCTTCTCGGGGATCCCAATTGTCTTTTTTGAAAATGGAAAACCTTCTCAGGGCCCCCAATTGTCTTTTTTAAAAAAGTAAAACCTTCTCAGGGGCCCCAAATGATTTTTTTTAGAATGTGAAACCTTCTCGGGGCTCCCCACTGGCTTTTTTTGAAAATGTGAAACCTTCTCAGGGCCCCCAATTGTCTTTTTTAAAAATGTAAGACCTCAGGGAACCCAAATGTTTTTTTTTAGAATGTGAAACTTTCTCGGGGGTCCCAACTGGCTTTTTTTAAAATGTAAAACCTTCTCGGGGTCCCAATTGTCTTTTTTAAAAATGTAAAACCTTCTCAGGGACCCCAAATGTTTTTTTTTTTTAGAAAGTGAAACCTCGGGGGTCCCAATTGTCTTTTTTGGAATTATGAAACCTTCTCAGGGGTCGCAATTATCTTTTTTGAAAATGTAAAACCTTCTCAGGGGCCCCAAATGTTTTTTTTTAGAATGTGAAATCTCGGGGGTCCCAACTGGCTTTTTTAAAATGGAAAACCTTCTCAGGGGTCCCAACTGGCTTTTTTAAAAATGTAGAACCTTCTCAGGGGCCCCAAATGTTTTTCCTTTTAGAATGTGAAACCTTCTCGGGCATCCCAACTGACTTTTTTAAAATGTAAAACGTTCTTAGAGACCCCAAATATATTTTTTAAGGATGTGAAACCTTCTCAGGGGTCCCAATTATTGTTTTTTTAATGTAAAACCTCGGGGGCGCCAAATGTTTTTTTTTAATGTGAAACTTTCTCGGTGGTCGCAACTGGCTTTTTTTTGTAAAATTTCGGGGGCGCCAATTTTTTTTTTTTTTTTTACAATGTGAAACCTTATCGGTGGTCCCAACTGGCTTTTTTTAAATGTAAAACCTCAGGGGCCCCAAGTGTATTTTTTAAAAATGTGCAACTTTCTCAAGGGTCCCAATTGTCATTTTTAAAAATTTAAAACCTCAGGGGCGCCATTTTTTTTTTTTTGCTTTTTTTTTTTCAATGTGAAAGTCTCGGGTGTCCAAACTGACTGTTTTAAACATTTTTTGTTTTGTTTTAAACATGAGACATGCTTTTTTTTTTAATTGCTTTTTCAGAAGTTTGATGTGACTAATATTTGTTTTTGTTAGAGAGAGCAGAAATTTTGAAATTATAGAACGAAAAAAAAACAAACCCACTTAATAAAAAACAATTTTTTAACATCTCTGTATTTACAACTATTAAATATTGGTTTTTTACAGATCCAGGACAGTTCCAGACAGGCGGCAGAATATATAAGCAAAGTAGCCCGACTCCACGTCAAACTACAACAGTAAGTACTGCATGACACTAAAACAAAGCCACTAATGTAAAATCTACCGATATTAAAGGTACGATCTAGCCGCCGACGCCATCAGACGCGAACTAGGTCTTCACCAACAGAACGAGTCTTTCCAAGCGACAGGTCGCTTAGCCGTAGCCTTGGTCCTTGTCCAGTTAGCCAGAGGAGACGTAGTGGCTGCAGAGAAGGCATTTAAAGAATGGGGAAATTACTGTGAAGCCCCTGAGGTACAAACCCTGGAAATGCTTCTACAAGCATACGACGAAGAAGATCCAGAATCGGCGAAGAGAGCCCTGAATAATCCATTCATTAAACACATGGACGTAGAATACGCGATTTTAGCAAGAGATATGCCTCTACCTGAAGGCATATCGGTACCACCTAAAGCAACAGTCAGAGAGAACGCAGCGCCCTCTTACGTGTCGCCGAACTCCCAGACAACGGCGACTGTGCAGGTGAGTAATTGCGTGTCATAGTCGTGTCTCGCTCACCCAGAAGTCGTTTCCAGGACCGTCCTGAGGAGAAAGGCGAAAGCCAGAAAAGCGAACCGAAAGAGGGCAGTGACGACGAATTCGAAGGTGGACTGTGTTAAACGATGTGTTTTGTTGTACCATTTTTCTGATTGAGTTCTAGTATAGTGAAAAGTTGTGTTGATACTATTTAACATTCCATCAAAGTTCAAAGTTTTAGCTTCGTTTGCCGCCGAGATATTAAAAAAGTTAAGCGATTTTGCATTGATGACTGATCTGATGTTTTTAAGGTAGGCTTTTTAGCTTGTTATCACTAAAGAATATATTTTTGTTGGTTATCCTTGAATAAGTACATTTCAATCTAGTCGTTCACAGTGATAAAAAGGATGATTTTTTGTGAAAAATGTGATTGAACTCATTGACAACTCGTATGTTTTGTTTAACAGAGTTTTGTATGGAATATGTATGTTAACATTCAACAAACGCTCATGATGCGGGTATTGTCAACAGCTTGTAGATAATAGGTTTTATTTGTATCATTTAAAGACCCACTTCAAAGTAATAAATGTACTTATTGTAACTTTCCTGTACCTATTTGTTGTAAATACATACAAGCAAAAATGAGCATTGTGGTTGTTTCTTTTCGGACGATCTAGAATTTATACGTCTATGAAAGTAACGAGTTGATCTTATTTTTATGTTTGTGAAACTATTCAAGAGGAGTTAAATAACAAAACAAAAAATCAAGCTATATTAGAATATACATAGTATTCAAGAATTGCATTGTTTAGTTTTGTTTTCTATCATCTTTACTGGTGAATTAGAATATCTTTGTGATTAAAATTCCAGATGTAGTAATTTTTTGCGCCTGGGTTGGCAGTAACGTCATAAGTTACCAATCACCAATCGAACTTTTCACACGTCAACATCATTTTTGACATTTACCTAATTTAAATAAAATTTAATTTATTTTATATAAAAAATGCCGATTTATTAACTTCGTGCCGTACCAAATTGGTGCCCCTTGCTGGTTCTAAGTAAAGAGTGAAAATGGCAAGCCCCCGGACCAGACGTGTGTTACAAGAGTTAAAGCCGCACGACGAGAACGATGTAAGTAAATTGGGGTCATTTCTCCTAAAATCCACACACATTGTTCATATTTCCATCTTTCTGACAGAAATGTTTCGAATGTGGCACCCATAACCCTCAATGGGTGTCCGTAACCTATGGCATATGGATCTGTCTCGAGTGTTCTGGCAAACATCGGGGCCTCGGCGTGCATTTATCCTTTGTCCGTTCCGTCACGATGGATAAATGGAAAGACATCGAATTAGAAAAAATGAAAGTAGGGGGCAACCGCAACGCTCGCGTATTTTTCGAAGCACAACCCGACTGGGACGACCATATGACCATTCAACAGAAATACAATACTAAAGCTGCCGCCCTTTATCGAGACAAAGTTTCGACGTTAGCTCAAGGAAAGGCCTGGGATGAGAAAAAGTCGCCAGCTCAGAACTACACAGGGAGTTTAATTAATAGTAGCAATAGCTATAGTACTTCTGGTTCTTACTCAAATTCAACTACTACTTACCAGAATTCGGACTCCTATCAAGGGGGGTACCAGAATTATAATTCGACGGAGTTTAAAGACCAGAAGGATGCGTTCTTTGCGAAGAAGCAGGCGGAAAATGCCAATCGGCGAGGGTAATTATTATTATTTGCACTGTGGATTAAATAATGACTAATTTTTTTTCAGGGACTTACCTCCTAGTCAGGGTGGCAAGTACAGTGGTTTTGGATACACGATGGAGCCGCCCCCGAGGAGCCAATCGCAAGAATTTGTGGATACAGCAATTTCTTCTTTAGCAAGCGTAATTATTTTATTGTTGTCACGTTGGCACATTGTATAATTTTTGTGTGTAGGGTTGGTCATTTTTGTCTTCATCTGCCAGTAAAATAGCAACCAAAGCTACCGAAAACGCCGTCAAATATGGCGGACTTGCCACTCAGAAGGTAGTTGATATTAGCTCACATGTAGGTGACAAGGTTCGTTTTGTTTTCTTTTATTTTCCCTTTCGTGATTTCTTTCTAGATCTCACACTATCTTTTTTTGCTGTTGTTTTCTTTTATATTGATTTTATTTGTGTTTCATGTCAGGTAAAAGAGGGTACTTTATTAGAAGATGTAGGAAATCAGTTTACTAGTCTCACCAATAAGGTAATGCACACTTTTATTTTATTTATTTATTTCATGTTCTGAACAACTCGAAGTACTTTAAATTTCTAAAACGAGTTTGATGATAGATGGGCGAATTAGGACGTAAGGGTTGGAAAGAAGTGGCTGGTGGTAGTAACAGTGGGGACTACCATTCGGGCGGTTATGGGCAAGTCGGTGGTGACAACTACCATTCGCCTGGAGAAAAATCTTCACTAGTTAGCAGCGGTAACGGCTATGTTAGGGACGACGACTGGAGTTGTAGTAGTCAACAAGGCTCAAAGTAGTTATTATTACTCTATAAAAGGCTGTTTTCATCCATAATGTTATAATAGGGCATCTAGTCCAAAATCTCCAGGTCAGAATTGGGACAGTAGTTGGGGCGGTTATCAAAGTGACCCTCAAGGTTACCAGTCTGAATCTAGGGAATATTCGGGAAGCAGCGCCACATCGCCAACTGGCTCCATCTCCCAGAAGCATAGTAAAAAAGAGAAAAAGTCCAAAGAGCAGAAGAAGCCTAATTGGGACGATAAATGGGGCGACGACGAACTATGGGAAAGCCTGAATAAGTAACAACTGTGACCAATTTAGACCAATTAATTTGTGAAATAATATTCAGCATCATGGATGTTCATTATTTTAAATCTTTTTATTAGAGAAATTATAACTCTGCTAGCTCAGTGTTACCAACGGACTTTTATTAATTTATTTATTATCATTATTATTTACTTCATTGCAACAAGACGCAATTATCGATGCTTAGAGCAGCGTACTTTGAGATTATTTATTTTATTACTATTTTTTGTTTATGGTGAACCACGGTCAATTGATTTATGTAACGAAGACTGCAAAAGAAATGGGAAACTTCCTTAAAATTTGTCGTGTTGGTCAGTGTTGCAACAGCACAAACCATAAATTGACGAAACGCATTTATTGTTGTCCATTGCCGTTAATGTAAATATTTTCTGTAGCATACAATAGTTTAGCGTAATTTAAGGCAGACGTATGTTATATATTATGATAAACATGTTTTACTCCAAATTTTAAGGTAAATAAATATTATTTTATGCATTAATTTCACTTCGTTAATAACAATCCCGTAATAGTGCATTGATAAACAGCTGATAAGAAAAAACTTGCGCTTTTCGTTTCGTCACCTTATCACTTTTTAGTGACTTGCCGGATCTGTCAAGTAAGTGAGGTTAAGTGGGTTCGTTCGCTAGAGGTTAGGTTCGATGTAGCAAAAATGGCTAATTTTCGATCAATAATAGCCACAATATCAATAACAATAATTTCAATAAGTTTATCGAATGCCTTATACGAAGACCAAGTTGGGAAATTCGACTGGAAACGTTCTTTTATCGGTAAAGTGAAACATGCTCGATTTGACAACAAACGACTGATTGTGACCTCACACGAAAATGTCGTCGCTAGTTTAAGCCTTAAAAACGACCAAATACTATGGCGCCAGGTGATGGAGAACCCCCAGGAACAGCAGCCGCTACATTTACATGTAGACAAAGACGTGATCACGGTTTCGGGCAACAGAAACAACCACTATGTTCGCGGCTGGGACTCCCCAACGGGCAGCCTATTATGGGAGTGGGTCATAGCTACCGAGAAAAGTGCAGACTCGTTTTGGCTGGTCAAAGACGATACGCTCGTTCACATCGCGCCATTCCCCGGATCCCATATGGAAGTGACCCATTACAACGCAAAAACGGGAGAAGTGCGCTGGAAGACGCGAAAAATCCCGGAAACGTGGGTCGGAGGAACGAACAAATGCGCTATCGCCAACCCATACTTTGTCTGTGTTTCAAATGGCCAGTTGTTTTGGTTTAACGTTGTAAATAGTGATGCGAACACCCATCGTTCGCAGTCAGTTCAAACTTTGATAGGGGAGTCGGACCCAGGGAATCTGCACCTCCTCGAATTTGAGGGTCCTAAACCCGCAGTTTTATTAGTGAGAAACAATAACGCTAAAGTAGTTGAAGTAGATGAGGAAACTGCCAAAGCTTTACCATATTCGTTGATTTCTAACGCCATATACGTAGAAAATGCGATTTATCAACTAGAGGCCAATTTAGAAAACCCTGACAAGCTAATAAAAGTGAAGTCGTTGAATTTGTTGACTGGACAAGAAGGGTTGTCGGTTGAGGTTGACTACCCTTTGGGTTTAGGAGGCCCTTATATCGTAGCAGGTCAGTGCAGAGGCGGAGTCTGTGATTTACTACTTTCCAGCACCGACAACGCCTTGACTCTGGTACGTCTGCCTGAAGGTAAAGTAATTTGGACACGTGAGGAGGCCTTAAGCAACATCGTCTCAGTCGAATTTTTTGAACTACCGGTGTCGGAACTTGACGCTAGCATAGAGAAAGAATTCGCAATTGCCTCGAATGACGTCGTGAGCATGTTCTCTCATCGTATATCCACCCAAACAAGACAACTCTACAATCTCGTCTTAAGCGGCCAACTTTTGGGAAATAGTGGTTTAGTTCGTGACGAATTCGGTCTCCATAGAATCATCGTAGTGGCCACCAATGTCGGTAAATTATTCGGAATCGACACCCTCACGGGTTCCATCGTGTGGACTTATCGCCTCCCTAACGTTAAACCCTTCAAAGACTCCGCCATGATGCTATTGGTGCAACGAACGGCACGCTACGCCCCTTTGCCCGCCCAGTGTGTGCTATTGGCCGAAGACGCGAACACCGGGGCGGGGGTTAGCTTCACCTTCGATCCGATTAGTGGGATGTCGCAACGTGGCATCGAGCGCTTGGGTTACAAGATAAAGCAGGCGTTCCTTCTGCCGCACGAAGACGACGATCACGTTAAACCAATCGTCGTGGTCGCAAGTGACAACGCCGTACACGTGTATCCTGATGAGGGCCGCAGTGTAGTGCAGAAACACAGCGATACGACGTTCTTGTACATGCTTGATGGAACTATTATGAGGGGTTACAAAATCAAGGCAAACTTTGCCCTGACACAAGTGTGGGAAGTCAATTTGGGACCATCGGAGTTAGTGGCTGTCAGCACTCGACCAATCAACGAACGCGTTCATTCTCAAGGTCGCGTGCTTCCGGATAGATCTGTATATTACAAATACGTCAACCCGAATCTCGTGGCGTTGGCAACTTTACATGACGACCCCATCCACAAGCATGTTTTGAGTGTGTATTTGATAGATGGCGTTACCGGACTTGTCTTGTATTCGGCGTCGCATAAAAAAGCTAAAGGACCGGTGCATCTAGTACATTCGGAGAATTGGCTCGTTTATTCTTTCTTCAATGAAAGGTTCAGAAGGAACGAAATCGTGGCAGCTGAGTTGTACGAGGGTCACATTCAGAGCAACAGTACCGCTTTTAGTTCGTTTGGAGTGAGCCAGCTGCCGCACATTCAAACGCAGTCGTACATAACCCCCGCCAACCCAGTGTCTATGACTGTGACCCTCACCGAGCGGGGGATCACCAACAAGTTTCTGTTGGTGGGGATGAGTTCGGGCAGCGTCGTGGAAATCCCGTGGATGCTGCTGCAGCCGAGATTTGCCGACATAGCGTGTGGTCCCGAAGAAAGTTGTATTCCGTACATGCCAGAAATCCCATTGCCGGCTGAAGCCATCATCAACTACAATCAGACTTTGAGTAGAATCAGGAGAATCGAGGTGGCTCCGGCCAAGTTGGAAAGTACTAGTCACGTTCTAGTGCACGGTTTGGACTTGTTTTATACTCGAGTGGCGCCCTCTAAGACTTTCGATTTGTTGAAAGAAGACTTTGATCATAAATTGATAGTACTTGTTTTGTCTGGACTCATTATAGCTTCTTATGTTACCAAGTACCTGGCGTCCAAAAAGACGCTGCGACAGGCTTGGAAATAATCCTTAGGTTCAATTTGTTAGGCAATAAAATTGTGTTTTGTCAGTTGTGGTTATAGTAAATGGTTTCTTTGTGTTTTATATGCACCTTTGTTGTTCTGTTGTACATCAATATGTTGTTTTGTTGTTTGATACCGTATTTATACATGCATTTTGTAAAATAAGGACATTTGAGGCGAATTGTATGGAATTTTTGTATATTTAGAATTGTTGGAACGTGTATAAAAGACCAAATAAAAAAATCAAAAGTGAGGTGATACTGTAGATCATTTTTCTTTGCCCCTGACTCCCGCATTTTTTAAAACCAATTTGGAAACATTATGTCTAGAGGCTATCCAAAAAGAATACGAACTAGGTAAGTTCTAATATAATAACTCTACATGATGCCTTAGCAGCTCTTTGGTAAGGTTATGTTTCTATCAAATGCATGTTATAGGAATCCACGTGCCGTTTGTGTCAAATAAAATTCCAACGCTCACTCAGCGGTTTTTCAATTGAACACCCATTATAATATGGACGTGGTTTAGCTTTATATAGATATCAGAGACTTTAATACATAGACTGGCTGTGTCAGGAAAAACGTGAAGTTTTTCGACCGCCATATTGCTTATAACCGTAAGTGCGCGAAATTTGAATTTTCCGGTCACAAAATGCAATTTAAAATGTTAAATAAAAAAGACAACAAATTGTAATTATTTATTTAGCATAAGACTATCTATATGTATATGTAAATTCCTTTAAAAATATTAATGTCCTTGAAACAAAATTAATTTCGTGAATTTTTGTCTTAAAGAGATAGCTTTTTCACGCTCAGTACTTAAGCGGCACTCATAACTTGTTCCGAGAGTCAAATAATTTCTTAAAATTAATTTAAGCAATAAATTAAAATAAGAATTATTTACGTCCAACTAATCCATACTAAACAATGTTCATTATGTAGAAAAAAAATGTATGGTCCTACTTCGCAAAGTTAAGGCAAACATTTTAGTTACCAAATCATTTTTAATGGCCATATTTACAAACAATCTCGTAAGTCCCGACACACAACCACTTTTATTTCGAGGTCTCGAAACGTTCTGTACTAGAAACTACTGCTGCTAACCACCACAACCTCACTTATTAAATATTAATTTGACATAAAAGTTATAGCAATGGCGTCCATACTACCATGCGCCGTGGCTTCACCAAAATGCATTAGAAATGTTACTAACAGCCAGTCTATGTATTTAAAGTCTCTGATAGATATAGATTATTGATTACTATTATTTATTTTAAACTTTAAACAACAAATTTGAAATTAAACAAAGAGTATTAGAAACCACAGAACACTCAATTTAGCAGATCAAAGCTTGCTGTCTTCTACAGAGTTTGGACATGGAGGTGAATAATCCTAGGACGTGATCTTTAGATTGGTGAAAACGAAAATTTGGATGTTTTAGTGGTGAGAACTGTCTTTAAAACAGACCAAACAGACTCGAACTTTTTTGAACGCTTTTATTTTAGTTACTTTTGACATTTCTCTACTACGTTTTAGTCTTATTAACGCTACAAAAATCGGAGGAGAATTTTCTAAGATGTCTAAAATCAATGATCTTGTTAAGGTTTCCGTCTGGTCTAGTTTCGTCCTATCTTAAAAACATGGGGAACATCATCGAGGTTTCAGGAGTTGCATTTTAAAAACACGAGATATACTGCCCTGAAAAAATAATGTCGAATTAACAAACTTGAGTCCAACAGAGGACATCTTTTATATTTATAGAGATTTATTTACTAAAAAAAATTATCAACTTGACAATCTTTTAGACCACTCGAAAGGGACACATTTATATTTCTTTTTAGGAAATTCTAGAATGATTTGAGTTCTGAAACATGAGGTACCCTGAAGAATAGTGACAACTTTCTTGCGAGATCATTTATAAGTCTAAAAAATTCACAACTGAGTTAAATAACTCCCGAAACCATATTTTAAAATGAAACGAGAAATAGGCCACTTTAAAAGCTGTTGTAGATAAGCGAAGAAAAATATTGCTTCCCCGGTGGGAATCGAACCACACGTTTTCCGCTTGCCGGGCGGGTGTCCTGACCACTAGACTACAGAGCGGCTTATGTTTCTTCGCTTACCAACCTGTTATTGTGCCCCAACAGTACCTCCCCCCTAGCGACATAGCGCGGTCGTGCTGGGTGCGAAGGAAATAGGTGCTGGCGTCGCTCCTGCTACTCTTACGGTCGTTGTTCGAACCTTGGCGGTGCTGTGGACCCCGAACACAGCCGGCACAGGGCGGTAACAGAAAGATGTTGCGTGCGAACGTGCGTTGCTTCTGTCGGTGGTCACCAATGTAGGTAAGCGAAGAAAAATGTTGCTGCCCCGGTGGGAATCGAACTCAACGTCTCCCACTTGCCGGGCGGGTGCCTTGACCACTAGACCACAAGACCGCGCTCCCACCTTTCTCGCTCTAAGGTTCTAAAACTTTCCCTGAAAGGAGGAACCACCATCAAGAAGCTTTTTACTACCTCCGCGGGTCCAATACCAATGCGGGTTAACACCGGAAGACAGCTTTCATCCGGTGAGTCTTGGAACACCAGCCTGAGGTCCCAGGATTTGAACTGCGAAAGAGCAAGTAACTCACTCCTCATCGGACCAGCCGTTTTCACATTTCCATGTACCAGTTTTGTGTAAAGCTGGTTCGTAAGGACTGTAGATACAATACTGTGCATCGCATTCCTAAGTTCGATGGGTACTGGCCATTGTATCACTTCGAGATTAATAAGCCTTGATCTATTAAATGTCAGAGGCTACATATTCGCGTCAACCGACGTTAGTAGCAGTAGCATTTGAATAATAATAATAATAATAATTCTCATTGGTGCGCACATTTTTCATTTTTTTTAAAGTTGCACTCCAAAGAGTACTCCCAATGAATACACCCTAAAGGTGTTTAACTGTCCTCTTTCTTGCCTCCCACACGGGTACGGCTACCTCACAACCTTCGAAGCCTAAATTTGTCCAGTTCGAAAAACTAAACCTTAAATGCTTCATCGGGTCGGCGACCAGTAGTGGGAGTTTCCACGACCCAGGTACCAGCAGGGTTGACTTGGAAACCAGCTTGCCGCTTTCCTCAAGACCGGCAAAAGCTCTTCATGGCTTCCTCATACTCCTTGCCGCCCCAGGATCTCTCACTAGCCGAGTACCAATGCGGTAGAAGCATCCGGTACCAAATTCTCAGCCCTTTTACAAGGAGCTGATGAAGGCTTTGAAGAGTAGACGTAGAGCAAGAGAGGCTATATTTTCCCTTCTTTGTTCCATGAAGTACGTCCTATGTCTACACCTAAGTACCGCCAAGATTAGTGTGAGTTTGCCATTGGTTTTGCCGGTACTTCGCTGTATCGGTAAGATCGTACTGCTCCTCTCATGCCATCCATACGAAAGTACCGCTTATCCGTCCCGGTTTCCCGGTTTCAAAGGAGCCAGGCCACACTTATCCCACAGAAGGTACTGTTGACATTTAAAAATATAAAGCAAGTAGATATCGATATCAGCATTTTCGATTACAGTATTGTTTCATTAGTGCCGTTTTCAAGGCGGCGTTTAGGAATGCTATAATAAGAGTGTAGGTAAGCGAAGAAAAATGCTGCTGCCTCGGTGGCAATCGAACCACACCATCCCCGCTTGCCGGGCAGGTATCCTGACCACTAGACCACAAGGCCGCTTATCTTTCTCCGCTTATCAACGTGGTATTGTGCCGCCACAAGAGTAATACTTGTAACAGTAACTTAGTGCTCTGTCTCTAGGAGCTGAAGAATACCGCTACCGTCTGATGCCGCGTAAGATAAAAGTCTCTAAAATGCATTCAAAATACCGTGAGATAATCTACCGTGCCCAAGGGAAGAATGGCTCTAGGTTAGTGGATAGAGAGACTGAACCGATACCCAGTATTAAACGGAGCCGGGGACAGATTTAGACTCCTCTGAGTGTCGCACATAGATGAGTATTCAATCTCTCATTGTAAATAGATGACTTTCATAGAGGGTAATCGATGTAAAGTGTGAGAATGGGAGAACTCAGGAACTTCGGAACTTCTAAGACCAAGGAAAGCCTTGGTACTTCTCCAGACCACTTGTGGTTTCCGAGGTAACCGTGAGGCTCTTAGAAGTCCAAAGTCTTGGGCTTCACAAACCCCGGTTCGTTATTGGGCTATGGGAAAGATCCACATAGCAACCTTGAAGGTGAGAAATTTCAGGATTTTCTATGTCTTCAACCCGGCGATTATAAGGTGCTGAAAATGATAGAACCTAGTGAATAAGGGCCGGCTGTCATTTCTGCAGCTCAGTTTGCATCACATCTGGGGTATACACATTGGGCTTCTTCAGGAACCTTGGATATTAGAGGGGCGGGTAAGGAGTCTGTCATTCCAGAAAGGATCAGTAATTATTGGTCCTATCGAATATAAAACAGAGCTTACCTTTACTTATCCAAACGGGTACAGGTCCTTCCTTTGAAACACTTATGCTCTAGGGATGTAGTGGCTCCCGTGTAAATATCATAAGTCGTATAACGTCGCGAACACTGATAGTGTGCTCGGCCTCGGATACAATTTGGTGTATGATTTACCTGTGGCGACACAATAATAAGTAGTAGTAAGCAGAGAAAGATAAACAGCTCTGTAGTCTAGTGGTAAAGGCACCCGCCCGGGAACTGGGAGAAGTTGGGTTCGATTCTCACCGGGGCAGCAAAATTTTTCTTCGCTTACCTACACACCTTAGCTGCCACTCTCAGCTGAGTTAATAGTGGTAATAGACTTTAGCAAAAGGTTAAGGGATGGCCTCTCAACCTAGGATGCAGTGCGAACTCATACAACACAGTATGAAGGAGTTTTGATGTCTATTCCAGAGGAGATCCTCTTATGAATTACATCGCTATAACGGGTTTGGATATTCTGAACGGTGGAAACTAACCTACTTTCGTTGCTAAAGTGACATGACTTTGAGTTAAATAGGGTTGACTCATGAAATCAAAAATAGAGCTCAATTCAGCAGAACATCGATACATCCGATTTAGCATTCAAACTGGGACTACTACAAGGGGGTCCTCTTAAAAAAAGATCTTGGGCCAAGCTGTCAAATAGAGTCCAACATGTTTGAAGAACCATAAGAAATGCCCCCCTTGATACATGAGGTTACTGTCGAGTCTTACAAGAAGAATTATCCAACACGCAACCCTTATAGGATCGATTGAGCCTCATGCTGGAACTCTCACTTCAGTAGGTTGAGATATAGTGCAATTATTAAGTTCTAAAATAGAATCCGATTGAAATTTACCCAATTTATGGGAGCTCTCTGTAAGAGGGTTCAAGCTCAAAAAGATGGAAGGACTTCTATGGCAATTACTTAAATTTGGATGGATGAATAAATTATTGATCATGAAATGTGTATATTTTTTCACATTTGTAAGCTTTTTACTTCCTGAGCGTAAGGAAGTATAGTAATCGAGTCCATCGAACGAAGTGCCACTTTTATGTTTTCTGGATGTTTCATGACCTCTACAGTACGAAAAAAATAGTCTCTCGTTTCCGTCTGTCTGTCTGTCTGGTGTCTGTATCCATTTTTATTAGACAAGTAATCTCCAAAACTGCTGGACCGATTGTTGTCAAATTTTGTATGTATATTAGGAATATCATGTAGATGGTTAAATACTACCCAAAATTTGGATAATCATCCCCACTAACAATTTCATACGTCATTTCATTGAATCGTATCTTAAAATAATTTTAATGTTATATAAAAATTAGAGATGTACCGACTGTAGGTCTGGCCGACTAACCGACTAGCCGATTTTTCGGCCAGTAAAAACTGACTAGTCGGCCGACTGTTCGGCTTTGCTAAAACCGGTTTATAAATGCGACAGACAGTGTGTTTTTTTTTCTATTTCTCTGACTACCTTAAAAATTTGTTTTATTTTAATAAAAGGAATAACTAAAGTTCCTTTGTTTTCCAAAAAATGTGTTAAATTTGTTTGGATAATTTTAACATTTAATTTTTTTAGTAACTCAGTACAAAAATAAAGAATAACACAATTTAGGGCCAGTTTATACAATATTTTAACTAAGATTAAGTTGATCGCGCATTTAACAAGGCCATTAGCGACGTCTGATTGGCGTAGAGTCGGTCACATGGTACTTTAACGCGGGGTTAAAAATTAAATCGCAATTAAATATTTAATTGAGGTTCTGTGAACCGGGTTTAATTGTTTTATAGACTATTTTAATTTTAATAAAAAAAGCCGACCGGTCGGCTGTTTAGCCGACCAGTCGCCGACTGCAGGCGACGATGAAAAACGGCCGAATAGTCGGCTTATCCGACCGGTCGGCCACTAGTCGGTACATCCCTAATAAAAATATACTCCTATACTTGTACAATAGTGTACGAATCCGTTTTCAGGTTTTTCGCTAAACGTTCAAATTTTCGCAGAAACAATTCCAAGGTTCAATACGCTTATATATATTGCCAAGACAGTACAGGAGTCCCCGTGGCAATTTTTTATTGGTCAAATTAAGAACGAATCACCGGATTTCCTCGAAAATGTGAAAAACTCGTCTTTATAATAATAATGATAAAATAAGAATTATAATATTCAGATCATTTTGCTCGAATGTGGTATAATTCAAATCAAACTAATTTCTACGTGACATTCTTTCGAAGTATAAACATAAATAAACACTCGAGAATGCTGCATATGTTTCATTGTACTTTAGGAGCGAGGGAAGTTCGAGACAATTGTCGACCAATTTTTTTAATATGAACATTTTTGCATTGATGGGGTTAATTTTTTTAATACCTAATTGTTCATTTTCTGAAGTATGTCAATATTTTTTTATAGGATCAGAGGGGCGGATGAGACCTGCTAAACCAACGCGAGAAAAATTTAGACCGGCGCCTAAAAGATCGAAATTTTACTTCATTTAAAAATATACCAAGTGTACCACTGCTACTGCCTCTGGGAAAATTTCCGATTTTCAGATGCCCGTGATGTCTTGTCTTTGAAGCAATTTGAAAGAATCTCGGGGACCACTTATATCTTGTTTTTAATAATAATAATAATAATGATATGTTTATTGCCCAACAGCTCATATGAACCTATTACAGAGCAATTGACACAAACTAAAGTATTATCAATACAAAAAATGAAAAGTAAATAAATAAGTACAAATAAATATACCGGATACCTGAATAATAAGTCTAAATTAAGAGTTACTTAGCAAGTAGAAAACAGACGAAAAAGATAAGATAAAGTAAAAAATAATAATAATAATAATAATTCTAAACATAAGTGATAATTAATAATTACTCTCTTGCGAAGATACTTAAAGCTAAATACTTAAGATCTTTTAGATTTATATTAAAAATGTCACAATCTCTCAGTTTGTTGTTAAAATTACTACACATAACATTAATCGGGCTTTTTACCAAAATATTTGTGCGAGCGGTGGATAGATGCCAAGGTAAAGAGTGTCTGTTATTTACACGTGGTACATGAAAGAAGATTTTGGCCAAAAGTTCACTGCAGTCAATTTTATAATTGACGATTTTAAAAAGAAACATTACAGCACTAACTTCTCTTCTAGCATGTAAAGACGGTATATTAAACTCTCTTTGAAGTATCAAATTCTCACATCCTCTAGCAGGGTAGGTGCCATATTTTTTAAACCATAAATATTTAAGAAATTTTTTTTGAACTGATTCGATGACATTAATATAGCAATAATAGATTGGATACCAAATTAGGCAACCATACTGTAAGCGTGATATAATGTACGTATTAAACAGCATCTTCATAGGTTCAGTAGAAGTGAAGTCACGACATTGTCTAATTATAAATCCAAGCAAAGAGAGTGAATGTTTTACTACTTCATCAATATGGAACCGAAAAGAGAGCCGAGAATCAAAATAAATTCCCAAATCTTTTACAACATCACACCTGGTGACGTGTTCTCCATTTATTGTGTAATCAAATACAATAAGAGATTTTTTATTACCAAATGACACAATTTTACATTTACTAATATTCAAGAAGAAGTTATTATTAGAACACCAAATTGTAAGTTTATGTAAGTCCTCCTGAAGTTGCAAAGCATCATTAAGATCATTTATAATACAAAAAAGCTTAGCATCATCTGCATATAATAGAATGTGACAATTCAGTGAATCAGGGAGATCATTGATAAAAACAGAAAAAAGTAGGGGCCCAAGATTGGAGCCCTGGGGAACACCGGATACTGCCTTAAAGAAGAATGATGAAAAACCATTGTAAAAAACGTATTGCAATCTATCACTTAAGTATGATCTTATAAGTTCCAAAAGTTTACCAGAAAAACCGTACGATTCTAACTTTAACAATAATAACCTGTGATCAATTCGGTCGAAGGCCTTTGCAAAGTCTGTGTAAACAGTGTCAACTTGGGACTGATTGTCAAGTGCCTCTGAAAGAAATTGTGAAAAACATGTGAGATTTGTTTCAGTGGAGCGTTTACTCATAAAACCATGCTGTTGAGGCGTTATGTAATTCTGAATATGAAAATAGTTTTTGAAGTAATGTGGAGGAATCTCGGGGACCCGTGTGTTTTGTTTTTAAAGTAGTTTGAAAGAATCTCGGAGACGCCTTGTGTCTTGTTTTTGAAGTAATTTGAAAGAATCTCGGGGACCCCTTTTGTTTTGTTTTTGAAGTAGTTCGGAAGAATCTTGGAGATCCCTTATCTGCTTTTGAAGTAATTTGAAAGACTCTCGAGGACTCCGTGTGTTTAGTTTTTGAAGTATTTTGACAGAATGTCGAAGAACCAGTACGGGAAAAATTTAGACCAGGGTTTGAAGGACCTAAATTTTACTTCATTTAAAACTGTATAAAACTTGGATTCGGGCACCGGCGCCCGATTTTCAGATGGTCCTATCTGCCTCTTGTTATCAGTTTGGCCATGATCCACCTTAAATGACAGTGATATATTTCGCTCATAATGTGGAGTTTAAATAATTTAAAGCATAATTTAATTTGATATTCAGTTTGATTTACTTTCTTGATATGAATTCAATTACCCAACTAATTAATAATTGACATTCTAATTCCATGCAGTGTTGTTGTAAACGTGGTCCAACCACCTAATTGGTCGAAATTTGTGTCCACCAGTGTATCCCACCGATTTAAACCTTAGCTCCGCCCCTGTGGCCCCTCTCTCAATCCCGCCACCAGAGGCCGCTTCACGCTTCGAAATGTCAGTCGCCAGTTTGACGTTTACGGGGTGCAACCGTTCGCGTCAAAAACACAAATAACACAACCAGAATGTGAAAAATCGTAAAAACGCGAAACCGTCACGACAGACTTATCAGTTTATTGAACTCAAGTGCGAATTTCCTCTCCACAAGTGCGAGCACAAGCCGCTTCTCATCGATTCGTTTTGAAGGTTAGTTTTTGATTTTTATTTGTGCGTGGGGCGTCTTCACTCAAAAAGTCGGAGGCTGACCCCAGGGGCTTCACTAAGTCGAGCCAACACGCACGGAATGCGAATGCGTGCGTGTGCGTGAGCGAAATCCTTGAAAAATGTCGATAGATTTTCCCTTGATCCTTCCCCTTTGTTCATGTTGTTGTCAGCCAGAGAATCCCGGCTTAAAAGTGTTGGGATGGCTGAAATGTTCAGCGTTAAGAGCGCCGACAACAGACCGCAAATATTTTCGTTTGGATGTTTTATTTCAGTTGACTCGTGGAGGCGAAGGTGTGCAGATGCTGTGCGTGAGTGCGTAAATAATTGGATTTTCAGAGAGTGTTTGTGCGAGTGATCCTTGAGGAGTTGATCCTGTGTCTTGCAGCTTCGACCGGAAGTGAGTGTCTGTTTTATCCTTGCATTCGTCCTTCAAACGCGGATTGTCTCTGGGCGTAATTGTAGCGGTATTATTTATAATAAATTTTCCCACGTTTCCTAATAATAATGCCATTAATGTCAATGAATGCGACAGAGTCGGACAGTTTCAATCAGAAGAAAGATTTTTCCTTTCAGTTTCTACGGTTTCGTAAATTTACGGACTTGACAGTGTACAGCGATCAGGGGGGCAATTCTCTCGACATTTCATTGTTGCTAATGAAGATTTGTGTGATTCCTTTCAACATCAATTGGCAATTATTTTTAATTATCTTGTGGCAAATCTACGGAGTCATTTATATCCATTTAAAATTAAAGATAACTTTCAATTTATTCTCACGTTAATGGACGTAGGTATGAGGTAATGTCTAAAAGTAGATTGACACTTTTGCATTAGATATCTGAAGCTGTATTAATAAAAATGCGTGAGGTCGTCTGCTCCGAAATATTTTGATAAACGCATGCAAATAAATTACGATGAACAAGACAATAAAGCTTTGATATGGTTTTATGCTAATCGGGAAATTGGTGTCTGATAAAAAACTTGTTTTTACCATAGAAGTCACAATTGCAATTAACTTTAATGATGCGAAACAGTCAACAACGTAATTCTAACTACGGCTTGTTTATGCTGTGTTGATGTTTTACGTAAATCTCATCAGCGCCCGCCAAAATGTTTGCCGTCGATGTAGATGACCTTAGGAGAATCGAAATAAGAGGAATAAGATGTCCAGAAAAAATCGTTGCTCCGGTTTATGATTATTTTCTTGCATTATTTTATCTCGTTCAAACAATAGACACATTTCGCTTATCGTTTTACAATCTTCTACGAGCTTTGGGATCCCGAAAAACTCGAAATTAGACATTGTTAAAATCTTACAAAAACCAAATTACAGATTTCTTAGTTGTTTAAATATGTGCGTACTTTATTTGTTAATCATAAATGTGGTTTTCTCAGAAATAATGCCGCAATAATTTTCCATAGCTCATCGTAATTTTGAACACAAACAGCCTCCACACACTGAGATAATAAAATTAAACAATGACACAAAAAAAAATATTTTTGTTACACTACATTGAAATATTGTTTATCAAATAGACCGTAAAATGCTTCACGAAATATAATCTTGCTACGTTGGACCGTGCAGGAGGTAAACGAACCTAATTAAATTTTGTCTTGCATTGGTTAACACTCATGAAAATACGTACAACGAATTTTGAATTTTTAATTGTTAAGTTTGATCACATTCGGACAAATTTTTCAAAATTGTTGTACGCACGATTTTTACATATTTCGCAACGTGATTCAAGCTGCGTGCATTGTTTACACTATATATTTTATCAGTTCCATAAATTTTAGTTTGTTTTTTCGTATTTTCTGTATTCTGTTTCCTGGTATGAGTCATATTATTTTTATGTTATCTTATTTTCTATTCTTAGAAGTCGACAACGTGACAGGTGATTCGTATTTACAGGTAAAATAATGGGGAGATATTTTTTTAATTTATCGCTGATTAAAACAGCAACAAAACAATCAACTTTATTTGAAAATGTAATTTATGTGGTTCATTTTTACTGATAATGAATTTTTATGAAGTAGAAACATAAAAAGGTTTAATTAATGTAGTGCATTTTGATGAAAAACGTATGAAAGACGACTTTAGGTACAAAATTGTATACAACAGTAATGTGCCATGAGATTTAGGTAGATGTAATTATAATGACTCAGTTAAGTGTGACAACGCTGAAGTTACTAATAAAAATACAAACAATGCGCATTGCAATTGCCGTAACACAAATTTATGACACATTTTTTACTTCCCGAGTGTAAGCTAAGGAAGTCTTGTAATCTCGACGCTTCAAGTACGAAAAGGTCTCCCGTTTCCGTCTGTCTGTCTGTCTGCTGTGTGTTGAGACTTTTACTTTGTTTTCAAGTTTTGTACGTATGTTAGGAAAATTTGTCTGTTCAATTTTGTCAAATAAATGTTATTAAAATGTTAAAAGTAACATAGTCCTGAACTTGTGATTTATGAATCCGTTTCAAATTTTTATTCTAGATATCGAGATTTTTGGAAAAAATCGAAATTGTAAATATAACAATTTTTCGGCTTTTCAATTTCTCGACTTTTCAACTTTCGACTTCTCAGTTTTTCCGTGTTTCAGTTTTCAGTCTTCTTATTTTTCAATTTTTCGATGTTTCAGTTTTGGAATTTTTCGAATTTCGATGTTTCATTTTAGAATTTTTCTGTCTTTCGATTTTTCCATTTCTGTATTATTTAGTTTTTTGATTTTCCAGTTTTTCGATTATCGAATTTTAGATTTTTCGATTTTTTTAAATTTTCGATTTTTTTAAATTTTCGATTTTTTAACTTCGATTTTTCAATTTCTCAATTTTTCTGTTTTTTCAATTTTTCACCTTTAAAATTTGAGAGTCTCCAATATTTCGATTCTACGATTTTTCAATTCTTAAATTTTAAATTTTTCAATTTTTGTATGTTTCATTCAGTTTTGGGATTTTTTAATTTTTCAATAATTTCATTCTATAAATTTTATTATTGGGTTTTTCAATTTCTCGATTTTTCAACTTTCGACTTCTCAATTTTTTGGTATTTCAGTTTTCGATTTGTTTTAGTTTTTTTTATATTCTTGAATTTTTGAATTTTCTGATTTTTCAATTTCTCGACTTTCCAATTTTTCGATTTCTGAATTTTTCGAAGTTTCAGTTTTGGAATTTTTCATTTTTCTATTCTTCAATTTTTCTACCATTTTTCAATTGTTTGATATTTCATTTTAAGATTTTTCAGTCATTCGATTTTTCGAATTTCGAATTTTAGATTTTCCGGTTTTTTTAATTTTCGATTTTTGACTTCGATTCTTCAATTATTCCTCTTTCGTCAATTTTTCATCTTTCAATTTTGGGATTCTTCAATATTTCGATTCTATGATTTTTTAGTTTTCAGTTGGGAATTTTTTAATTTTTCGAGATTTCAACTTTGGAATTTTTCAATAATTCGATTCTACAATTTTTCGTTTTTGCGACTTTTCGATTTTTGCATTTCCCGATTTTTTAAATTCGATTTTTCGATGTTTTAGTTTTGAATATTTCAATATTTCGATTCTCCAATTTATCGTTCTTTTTTCGATTTCTAAATTTTAGATTTTTCAATTTTTCGAGATTTCAACTTTGTAATTTTTTAATAATTCGATTCTACAAGTTTTTGATTATTCGGTTTTTCAGTTTCTCGATTTTTCAACTTTCGACTTCTCAATTTTTTGGTATTTCAATTTTGGAATTTTTTTAGTTTTTCAATTTTCTGATTTTTCAGTTTTTCAATTTCTCCACTTTTCAATTTTTCGATTTTTGAATTTTTCGATGTTTCAGTTTTGGGATTTTTCATTTTTCTGTTCTTCACTTTTTCTACCATTTTTCGATATTTCTCCTTGGAATTTTTCAGTCTTTTGATTTTTCGATTTTCGAATTTTAGATTTTTCAATTTTTTAAAATTTTCGATTTTTTAACTTCGATTTCTCAATTTTTCGATGATTTGGTGTTGAATTTTTCAATTTTTCGCTTCTTAAATTTTAGATTTTTCCATTTTTCGATGTTTTAGTTTTCAGATTTTTCAATTTTTCGAGACTTCAATTTTGGAATTTTTCAATACATATTTCGATTCTACGATTTTTCGATTTCTCGATTTTTTTGTTTTTCGATTTTTCAATTTTTTGACTCTTTCAGTTTTGGGATTTTTTAAATTTTCGATTTTTTGCCTTCCATTTTTCTCAATTTTTCGTTTTTTTTTATTCAATTTTTCTTTCAATTTGAGGATTCTTCACTATTTCGATTCTACGATTTTTCGATTTCTCGATTTTTCCATTCCTAAATTTTAGATTTTTCAATGTTTCGATGTTTCAGTTTTGGGATTTTTTAATTTTTCGAAATTTCAACTTTGGAATTTTTCAATATTTTGATTCTACAATTTTTCGTTTTTGCGATTTTTCGATTTTTCTATTTCCCGATTTTTAAAATTTTCGATTTTTTGATTTGAATTTTTCAATTTCTCAATTATTCGATGTTTTAGTTTTGAATTCACTAATTTTTCGTTGTTTTTTCAATTTTTTATCGTTCAAATTTGGGATTCTTCAATATTTCGATTTTACGATTTACCGATTTTTTAATTTTTCGGTGTTTCAGTTTTGGGATTTTTTAATTTTTCGAGATTTCAACTTCGTATTTTTCAATATTTCGATTCTAAAATTTTTGATTTTTGCGACTTTTCGATTTTTTATTTCCCGATATTTTAAATCTTCAATTTTTCGATTTCTCAATTTTTCGATGTCTTGGTTTTGGAATTTACAATATTTCTATTCTTCAATTTTTGGTTGTTTTTTCAATTTTTCATCTTTCAAATTTGGGATTCTTCAGTATTTCGATTCTATCATTTCTCGATTTTTCAATTTTTTGATTCCTAAATTTTAGATTTTTCAATTTTTCAATGTTTCAATTTTGGAATTCTTTAATTTTTCGAGATTTTAACTTTGGAATTTTT